GGGCAATATGCTGACTCTCTGTAAACCGCTTAGAGAGGGCTGAAAGCCCTATGAAGCGGTATATAAGTCTACTGCTATTGCTATTAAAAAAAAAAGGGAGCTCTGGGCTCTGTTTTTGGCCACAACGGCTTCCTACAGCCCTCTGCCAGAGAAAAGGGAGTTCGGGGTGGGCACGTGCGCCCTGCCCCTGAGCTCCCTTTTCACTGGCAGCAGGGTTGCAGGAAGCTGTCGCGACACAAGTAACATTGAGCTGGTCACTCCCACCTTGGCCACACCCACCTCAGCCCCCGAGGTCAAACACAACCCTGATGTGGCCCTCAATGCAATCGAGTGCCCTAAAGGGTATATGAAAATATTAATGGTTTTTCCTCCCATTTTATGTATTTTTTTTCCATCAAAGGCCTTTAAGCACTCAGAATTGCTGGACAGATGCCTGTGGCGTACACTGGAGAGTCAGTCTGTGGACGTTATGCACTGCTACCTGTGGGAATTATGGCTTCCAATCTAGAAGAGTAGAATGTGTCCGTGTTCATACAAACCAGCCTGTGCAAGATCACTTATGCGCCTGGAGACCAAGGCCGGCTAACTGGCAGAGGTGTAACATCACTCCATGCGAAAATAGTACGTTTTTACTATTTCACACCCTAGTCAATTGGCAATGCAGCAGCCGGAATAGACCTAATCTTAGGAGCTATTCACACATTCCTCTCTACAAGTATAGGCGGTCCTCGCATAACAAGCGAAATTGGGATCAAAGACTCCATCACTTAACTACTTAACAGTACTTAACTTTTGGCAACACAGTCACATGACTGCCATTTGCAAACTTCAAAGCCAGCTTCCGACAAACCAAATCAATGGGGAAGCCAGCAGGATGTCGCAAGTTGTAGTCACGTGACATTGTGCTTAAAGACCATGAGTGAACCACTTAAGTAAGTAATTTCATTAAGTAATTCTATTCCAACTATTAAATAAAAGGTCACATGACTGTGGTCAATTGAACATCAGTTCCATCCATGATTTTTCAGGCATGATTCACGTGACTATAACTTGCAGCGTCGTCCCGCAGCGAGTTGGCCATGGAGAGGTGGCCGCAGCAAGCTGCCTGTGGCAAGTTGTCCCATTCCATACCTCTACCCCTTCCACTTATCCCACCTCCATCCTGCTGGAAAGAAATAGGGAAGTGAAAGTTTTGGTCCTCGTGTGTTTCTGTGTGCAAAAGTGATTCATATATGCGAGAGAAAATGCTTGGTATAAAACAGATCGGATTCAAATAATTTTACTTATTTTTTTGTTACAAATTCAATTCATACCTACTAATTTTGTTAGCTAATTGGCTTTGGCTCTTCAAACATTTATTAGGAGGGGGAGGTCGCTAGGACTGGTTTCAGCTGGAACGGACAATTCCAGGTTGTCAGGGTGGGACACCTTGGCATTTTATTGGACTTTCCGTACATGTTTACATTTCTTTTCCTGTTCGCTTTTTCTTCTGGAGGTGGGAATGTCATAAGTTCAGGATCATCTTTCATCTGAGTAACTACAGATGTTCTAAAGTTAGCCAGCCAGCAAGATTCAAGATGAGATTTGTCATTCTCCCCCCTCCTCTTTTTTTTTTTTTTTTACTATTCTCATCCCCTTTTTCCTAGTTGAGTGCAGAGATACCACCAGGTATTGTGAGAAGGTGAAGCAGTTAAAGCTCTGCCAACTGGCACAGTTCAAGTCACGCTGCTGTGGGACGTGTGGAAAAGCATGAAGGCAGCAGTGAAGGAAAGAAAGAAAGAAAGAAAGAAAGAAAGAAAGAAAGAAAGAAAGAAAGAAAGAAAGAAAGAAAGAAAGAAAG